GTGAAATTAAAATACTACATTATTCTGCATGGTTTTTGTCAGTTTGGCAAACATGATGTAACACTTCAACTTGGATTAAGTTTAATGTCAAATTTCTTCATGACATTTACTCTCTGTAACACAATGACAACACCCAAACAGTGCAAATTTATAAATTTTCACAACTCTAAACTCAACCTGTTCACAAGTGACAAGTGAAAAGCATAAGTAATAGTGTATTAATAGATATACTTGACAATTAAATTAAAAAATAACTTAAAACAGAAGCCCAATACATGGTTACAATCTTAATGATCAACTCAAATCTCTATGAATTCTGCTATTTGCAAAAAAAACTATCAACAGGCAAAAAACGATATTAGCTTATTTCCTTTGTCAGAACATAGCTCTCTTATTTAGGCTTATTTGCTATGAAAATAGTGTAAGAGCATGGGAAGTTCAAACAGACAAAAAAATATATATACGGTATATATAAAAAACAGCACCTTTATTATCGGTGAGTTATTTTGATGGAATGGCTGATGTCTGATATTTAACTTTATCGCTAATATCGGCCGATACGGTACCATGCCGATAATATCGTGCATCCCTACTTTTAACGCATATCTGATTCAGCAGGATTCCATCCACAACTTCTGATATGAACACAGACAGATGGGAATGGAGGGGGGAGCATGAATGAAAAAAAAAAAAAAGCAAGACTGAGGACAGGTAAACGTGACCCCCTTCCCAAGACATGTGGGTGATGGGGTGTGTGTGTGTGGGGGGGGGGGGGGGAATCACCGATAAAAAAAAAAAAAAAAACAAGAATAATGCTGCAGCCCAGAAGGGAGGGTATAGATCTACCTGAGTCACTCTGACATCTCCTGCAGGTGCTGGTTTCTGTGGGGTTCAAATTACACATTTTTAAACGGGGCAGAAGTAGAAGAAGAAGCACAAACACCAAACATGAAGCAGCAGCATGGCTTGTTCTGGTTGGAGGTGCAAAATGTGGGTACTCTGGTGGCGGGTGGAGGGCGTCACTAAAAGCAAGTAATTCTGTGTACAATTGTTTTTGATTTTACACTTAGTGAGTTTAGTTATTGTTAAATTGAAACTATGCATAATAAACATATTTTTACAACTTTTAAATGGTTTTCTAAAAGGTCATTTACAGTTCCATTTCCAACAAAGATGGGACGTTGTAGAAAATGTAAATAAAACCAGAATGTAAGGATTTTTTAATCTCATAAAGTCATAACTTATTCACAATTAAATACAGAAAACAAATGTTTAAAGTAAGCAAATGCACTATTACTCTTTATTTCAGTAATTTTGAAGTTTATGGCAGCAACGCATTTGAAAAACCTTTACCTAGGGGCAACAAAAGGCTGTAAAAGTAAGTTGTATAAATAAGAAACAGCTGGAGGGTCATTAGGCAACTAATTAGATTAATTGGCAACAAGTTTGTAAAGAACTAGGTGTAAAAAGGGCATTTTAGAGAGGCTGAATGACTCAAAATTAAAGATGGGCAGAAGTTAATCAGTATGTGGAAAAACTGTCTAAAAAAAGTAAAACAATTTCTGAAAAATGTTCCTCATCTCTTATGGTATGGGGATGCATTAGTTCCTATGGCATGGTCAGCTTACACATCTGGAAAGGCATCACTGCAGAAAAACATATACAGGTTTTAGATTATAGCCCATCCAGACAATATTTTTCAGAGAAGGACTTGCATCATTCAGCAAGACAATGCTAAACAGCACTCTGCCCCCATTACAACAGCCTGGTTTGGTAGCTGAAGAATCTGGGTGCTGAACTGGCCTGCCTGCAGTCCAGACCTTTCACCGACCATCATGAAACAAAAAAGAATCCTAAACACTGTTGACCAGCTAGAATCCTACATTAAGACAATAATGGGACAACATTATACAAAATTCCAGCAGTTGGTCTCCTCAGCTCCGAGACATTTACAGATTTTTGTTAAAAGAAGATTGGGTGCTTTGCAGTGGTAAAGATGACCCCAACCCCACTTTTTAAAGTTGTATTTCTGCCATCAAATCCAAAATTACCTAAGTCCTGTCACAATAACAAATTTTGTTGAGCGATTAATTGTCTCAGAAATTATTGTGATAAATGATAATATTATTTGAAATTTGACAATAATTAGTAATGTCAAATTTAAGGAGAAATGTTGTTTAATTTTTGTGTGTAGTACATTTTTTGACCACCGGATGGCACTGTTTGAACTGAAGGATGAAAAGTGAGGGAGCGAGCAGTGTGTCTCTTTAAGAAAAATGGGAGGGAGGCCCCTTGACGTGACACGGGCTGTCTCTCCTTCCTGTTTTTTGGTTTCCAAAATGGCGGACGCTCGGTGTGGTTTGAGCTTTTTAGCATAGCATTTGTCACACAGAGCTTTTAATGAAAATCAGTAAACAAGTTCTCAGTTTCTTTTTTCAGAGAAAAACAACTTTTTACACAAAGGCACGGGTTTGAACCATGAATTTTGGAGCTTCGACAAGACAGTTTTTTTTCCCCCCCGAGGTCGGCCTGTTAGCTTAGCTCGTAGCTTAGCTTCTCAGCTTAGCTGCTTTTAACAATCCAAAAACACGATTTTGAATGGTTAAAATGGATTTTAAAGAGAAAAGAGAAAGGGAGGGGTCAGTAAAGAGCACCGGAGTTGAGCCTTTTGTCATCCAGTGTCTTCAGTCAAAAGAGAGAGACGAAGAAACGATAAAGATGATAAATGAAAATGAGGTTGATAATTTTCATTTACCATGCTATTAATTGATTTATTGTTTATTGCGAGAGGCCTAAATTACCTTATTTTTTTACATCTTAGATTAAACATTTGGTATATTTACTATGCTCCATTGTGAACAAAAGATGGGTTTATGAGATTTAAATTGCATTCTATATTTATTATTATTATTTGTATATTTTTACATTTTGCACATCCAAATTTTGTCAGAATTAGGGTTGTTTCCTCATCCTATGTGCAGTTATAGAAAGTGACAAATTAATGTAAAACAATGAAAAGTGTTTGTATAATTATTCATATAACATGCAGGTTTATTTATAATTTATTTTAGAAATTCAAGCAACATTATCCAAAAATGAACGAAAGAAACGTATTGTGTATGATCTGACAACATTTTTTAAAAGTCTTAAAATTATTGCTCTGCATTCATATATCTGAAATTTGCAAAATAAATTAAATAAGATAGAACAAAAAGTATATAAAACATAAAAAAATAATTAAAAATGTAGATATAGGTTGAAAATAAAACATGATCAAATACGTATAATCACTGGAGCTCAATACACGTCACAGGTTTTGCATCGCTTTTGTTTTAATGGTTGGTTGAACACCCTGATGTAAAGAAATGACACACGTGAGCTAAGTGAGTTCTGCGTCAGACTCTCCTCGTCTCAAAATCTGCACCTGACTACTGTCATAACAATGCCGCATGCTAACAATTCTGACGAAATAAGAAAAGCAGATATGATCAACACAGCTGTGTGGCTTTGATGACACAAGCACAGAAATAAGAATACAACATATTGTAAAAATGGTAGCTTCTAAAGGTGTTAACAGTAAAACTCCTCATGTTGGCTGTAAAATATGAGAACAGCACTCTGTGAATGAACGGCTCTTATCAGCCACGTGAAGCTCCCTACCACTGGAGGGAAACTAGTAAATATCACACACCTAATTATAACCAGACAACTACTCGGCTCACAATAACTCCTTCACCTCAGTCTGCTGTTGATTCAGTGACTCAGTCACAGGGTAAAAAGAAGAGGTCTGAGATTTATTTTATTTTATGAGATTTATTTCTATAAATTAAAAAAAAAAGAATGTTGTCAAACTCCAGTTTTTTTTTATTTTTATCATGTAGATTTCATAAAACATGATCATTGCAATGATGAAAGTAATGTAATTGCCTGCGTATGTGTGTTTGTTCATCTGTTAGAAAAATATTTCACAAACCAGTGAACTTATCTTGGAGAAACTCACAGGAAGCAATAATTAGATACACATTTAGAATTGACTAATTCATAGGGTTAAACTGATTCAAAATGGCCACCACAGCTAACTGACCTTAGAAACACACACACAAAAAAATTAT